AACTTTCTATTTGGGAAAGAAAATGAAAAGTAATCAAAGCAAGCTCAACCCTAGTTTTCCTTTTAATAAAAATGTTTTTACCCAAAATACTGATGTGGATGTCTGAAGATTGTCAACATCACAAATGTCTTTTCTAATGGACAAATTCATAACTTTGTATTATGGCTGCATTGTGTTTGGTGGGGTTCTTTTCCGTTCAAAATGATAAAAATATGATAAAAATGTTCAATGTGGCAAGAATTTAGTGATAGGATTGTATCTAATCTTCAGTGAAGTGGGATACTGGAACAGAGCATGAGGWGAGTAATGCTAATATTAAGATTAAACTTCATGGGTTCACACAGAATWTATAGAAATTGCATTATTAACATATTTTTAACTCATGAAATCACACAATAGTGAAGTCTGGATTCAAAGATTCAAGATTGAAGATTTACAGTCTGATATTTCTTGTAAACATTTTATGGGTGGAATTACTTCCCAGTGCTATACAAAGAAAATACCAATTCACAAAGGCAGGTTTGTTATCTACTTGAATATTGGTGAGYTTTTTKTTTTGTTTGTTTTTGAAATACTGTGATCAGCATTGTGCTAAACTGCTTAAGGAAATCAACCCCATTCATGTTTTTGCCCTCTTTTCTTAACCAAATTGAGTTGGTGCTCAGAGATTATCACTGCAACAATAAAAGTCTTTAGTCTAGTCCTGGAGAAGTGAAGCCTAGGATCAAGAATCTATTTTCACTTTAGAACGTTGCTGCAAGCAAATAATAATAATAATAATAATAATAATAATAATAATAATAACAACAACAACAAGAATAACAAGAATAACAAGAATAGAAAAATAGCTAATTAATGGTGTTGCTGCTGGTGGTGGTGGTCCACAAGAAAGACCCCTGAATAAAAACCAACCTGCAAGAGGCACAAAGAGTGAGAGACAGAAGGACAGAACRGTTTAGGAGAGTCTTGCTTTGACTAAGCACAGGGTAAGGCTGTCARACCCTTAATCTATCCCCAAATCAAGAACTAAGAAATACATGAGAGACAAAATATGAAGTGCATCTTTCTGGTTCTCAGAAAGTGCTATTTCAATTTTTTTGTTATATTTTACTTTAAGAATAGTAATTTAGTTCACATCAAACACACTRTTTGCTATCTCTATAATTTACTGCGTTAGTAGAAAATACTACTTTTGTGCCCAACCATGTTAGGCTGAGTAATAAATCTTTTTAAGCCATGTGTCTGTATGTGTACTTTTTCACTGAGAGAAACTGCAAAATAAATTTACTGGACTGCTACTGATCTCCTACCAACTACACAATCTGCRACATTAGAAGTTTTTACTGAACATGCTGCACAGGACACAGAGCTGTGCTCAAGTCAGGCTTCTGTTTTGTCAATCTTGCTACTATTTATTATCATTAAAGTCCCAGCAATGTGCTAGGTCTTGTCACAACGTTAACAGTGGCAGCCCTGAYCCACATTTAAGAAGGCTTCTGACTTTCAATTTCACCAAAAACTTTTAAGTCACACAGAGCAGGTAACAACAGAAACACCCCTAGCTAAGTGTTTTCATACTTGGGATGTGAAAATCAAGTGAGGATTTTAAAAAACACACTTTAATTCAGAAAAAGAAAAGACAAACGCTTTCTTTCTTTCTGGATTTTATTCTTCCTTTTCTGTTTGTTTGTTTGTTTGTTTGTTTGTTTGGGTATTATTTCCTGCAGGACAGGCTGCAGAGAAGTTTTTTACTTAAGAGGGATAGAATAATATCCACTGCTTGTTATTGCACTTCACTGTCTCCAGGTATCGTGGATGGACTGAGTCTTCAGATGGGATGTGAACGGCAGAACAACATATCAAATGTAAATGAGAGGGACTGCACACCAGGGTTTGTCTGAAATAGTCACAGAGATTACATTCTTCTCAGTAGGTAAAGATATGTGATTACACATACCTTGAAGGCTGCAAGCAAAGGAATGGAAGGATTTCCTGATCAAACTGTCTTTCAGACCAGTTTACCTGGTTTCTATGTCAGGTTATACTGTGATCTCTCCTTTTCATCAAAACATGGTTGGGTGGGAGTATCATTAATTGACTCATCTAGGTATTGGCAATATTTCAGTATTGTCCAMAGAAAATGAAATCATTATTGAAGGTTTAAATGATGGGATGAAATTTAAAGTATAGGACTGCTTTTTTTTATGACAGTAGGAAGAGATAACTGCTACCCAGTCACAAGAAATTATTTGTTAAATATTGTTCTTTAACTTCAAAATATTTTGTAGCTTGAAATTTTCAGCCAGACTTCTGTAATTTTATAACTTAATTATGGTTGCCTTCATAGAATAAGAAAAAATTATTAAATGAGCTAGACATTGATCTAGATTCATTTAATGTAAAAATTTACATAGAAATTAGTAATTGGAGATGGTAGTCACTTCCCTCTCCTTAATCTATTCTGTTGGGTCAATGAATGTGGTCATTAGAGACTACTTGCCCTTTAAGCCAGCTTTGAGAAAGACCAGAGCAAAACCAGGCTGCAGTAAAAGACATCCTGCAAGGATGCTGGCACTTGGGTCATGTGTTAGAGCTCTGAAACCTTTTTTAATGTACTGCAGATGTTACTAGGCTTTGAGACTTTTTAGCTATGTTTTCATTTACTGTTTAGGTGGTCACTGCTACAGTGTCATCAAGAGAGCTTCAGAATTCACTTCATATAAGAATTAATTATATCAATTCATACAGAAGTTACTGAAAAGGCTTAAGGAGTCAAAAAATCAGCTGAAGGCATTCTATCCTGAATTCAGTAGCTAAACCAACAGACAGGACACAGCTCATCCACCTTAGCATATTTTTTATTTGTGTGCCAAAGTTGTCACTGCTGGTGTGTTTGGCTGGAAGAGAACTGTYACAACTGGGATCTCCAGAGTCAGTCACAAAACAGATGTTCCAGAGAGACTGAAAAATAGTATCTTCAAGTAAAGACTCCTAAAAGCTTCCTTTTCCTTGTGCCCAAGCCTTTTGACTCAGAGGAAGCTGTGTGCTTACTGTATTTCTACTGTTATTTATATTTTTTTAAATCAACTCTCAGCCTTCATAGCTGCTGTCTCTAGGACTAGCAGGGAACTGAATCCTTTTGTTCATGAYTGGGACAAAGATTTGACCAAACACTGCTTCTTCTTTGAGGGTTAGATGGAAGTGTGCCTGCATTTTGCCTGTAGCTGCAAACACAGCTAAGAAATCGTATATTGAGCTCAATGGAACATTTTTCCTCATTGTACACACCAGGGCACTGCTGATGTTCAAACTACTGTCCCTGTTCTTTTGTGCTGCCAAGCAGCCCTAGAGGTTTTGGCTACTATTGCCTAAATCAGGCTCATTTGAGAGGAACTAATTCAAACACCAATAACCTGAGCAAACATCGAAGGGGGCAATAGAAGACATGCAGTAAAAAAAAAGAAAAAATGCTGCTGAAAGCTTTTTGCCCGTGATTTTGTTAATAAAATAGGCTACTGGGCTCATTCTTCTGATTATTTCTCTTACAAGGGAGAGGAGTGAATGGAAGGAAAAGTGACTCTAATCCAGAGGAGCATCCTAGTGAACACCTCCAAAGCATTTGGCTATGAGTATTAATGGGGACATCCTTCAGACAATGACACCGATGTAAGACTTGGGGCCTGCTGCACCACAAGCTCTGCCTTCAACTTCATCCAATCAAAACAGTAACTATTTACCTACAACCCAGCTCTGGTGTTGTATAAAGGACTGTACAAGAAAGGAAGACTTCAGGTCCTGATGTTGTAAATAGAAGCACAGTGCCCTTCAAGCCAATAGCAAATGAGGAGACTTGATCTTATATATTTGTCTTTTGAATAAGAAATTCAGAATTAAATCTGTTTTATAAAGAAATTAGCTACAATCCAAATCTGCATATAGGTATTCATATGAGAGAGCTTGTATATATCATGCACATGGACTGTAAAAATATTCTATAAACTATTCTCAGCCCAGCTCTCCTGCCATATATGAAAGTTAGATCAGTGTTAACTCAATGATCCATTGCAAATATCAGTTTTTCTTGTAACATTTATATGCCTTGGTCATGGAGGGTCATCCCAGTACTGGAGCTGAATGAAATACTGGTACAAGAATTTTTATGCCAAATCTCAAACCACTAGTACAAAAGAGTGTAATTTATCAGATGCAAAGGAAAACACTATCTGACAGTGCCAAAAGTACTACCATTCATTACATATCTAAAGGCTACTGATCAATAGAGTTTTATTCAATAGRTTCAAGCTTAACTGATTTTCATGGCTTCCTGAATGCTTTTATGACTAACAAGGCATGATCCACATAGTGCTTTGTCACCGATTTGCAAATAATCTAATAAAGTGACAGTAATAAATCACAAGTATCATTAATAAACCACCATCAAACAATGCAGCACACYGAGAACAATGTGGAAAATGCACAGATAATTCTTCAACTATTCTGGGGAATGAACAGGCTAAGCRCAGTACTACTGAAAAGCTGCAAGTTCAGTCCATAGTAAACTTATACATCTGAGCTGTCAGAGATTTCCTATTGCAGTTGGCAAATTCTGCTCCTATGTTTCTTCATGGGGAAAAAAAAAAAAAAAAAAAAAAAAAAAAAAAAAAAGAAGATATGAGAGAAAACAAAACTCAAATTGAGGAAACCAATGCTTGGAACGCAAGAATATAATCCAATTTGGTGATGCTTGTATGCTGTTAAAATAACATTTTATGCCTGTTTACTTTATAAGTTTGTACCTCATAAATACCTACAGTAGCTAAAACTGTCAGTGGTGCCACTTCAAATGGCAGTGGCCCTAGGAACAAGATCTTTGAGGTYTGGCCTAGCCACAGTGTGGTTAAGGTTATGACAATGTTTCTTTAAATCTAAAATTTAGCTGGCAGAAATCCATGAAAAGCACACATACCTTCAAATGAAAAATTCAGGATTCATTTACTTACTCTTCAGGTGTGGATTTAATGAAAGCTGGGCATTTAACATGGTAACAAGCTTCCACAGACTTCATAGAAAAATCCAGCTCCAAGATACATACAGCAGAAGCAAAGCAGTCCTTTTGACTCCATCATCTCTACAAAAAAATGTATACAAATAGCAAGCTTTTACTTGAGGTGGACTCTTAGAAACACAGACTTTTAGATGTCACACAAATTATGGCYGGGGTGAACACTAGACCTTGGTAGTACTTTCCATTATAGTGAATAGRAAGTCAAATTACTTAGCTTTGGACCATCTTGAATTAAAAACTAAAAGCCTTTTTTCTTTTGCTTTTAGGTCCCAAATTTAGCATAGAAGTGGTAAAATTACAAGGGGAAGTCAGCTGCTCTGGAGTTTTTGCCCTGGCCAAAATTATTKGTAAATACCACAAGAAAGCTTTTGCCTACCTTGTTTTCAATTCAKCATCTTAAGGCTTTACTTCTTCTGATAAAAAGGATCATCAGAATTCTTGAACGTGAATGTTCAATCAAATTTAAATTAAAATCTTTAGGTGCTTTTCAACCACTTCTCTGGTGATCCTTGAGCAAACAAATGTTTGTGTCAGCGGCTTGAGGCAAAATACATGATTAAAGCCAACAGTAAAACCATCTTTMCTCTCAGCCTCAGAAGTAAACTTTGATTCAATACTAATAGCCATGGAAAAGAAATAAATTAGGTGGTGGCTAATTGCAGCGTGAATAAGGGTTTTCTCTCTGAAGACCAGAGGACTAGACCACGGTTTGCTGCAGCAAAGGGGACAGGTATTACAGATGGTTATTTACAGGAAAACTCCTGGGTGCCAAGGTAAACCATCCCTGTTTCATCTGCTCTGAAGAAATACAACTCCTAAATAAATACTCAGTGCTTTTCTTTCAAGGTGGTGAGGAAAACTGGTGAGGCAGGACCAAGGAGGAGCTGGGGKTGGTAAGGAAACCACTGAGCTGGGGACTGGAGAGAAGGAGGGAGAGGAGCTCCCAGCAAGCCCTTCTGGCACCTTGGAAAGCCCAGCTCCTCTCTGCAGCAGCCTCAAAAAACAACTGATGTCCCCAGCAGTTACCACATCCCACTGTCCACATCTGGGAGCTTTGAATGGGTGTCTGTGGAGTTCTCTTTGGAATACCAGCACACTGAGACAGCAGTGGGAGAGGGGCTGACCCCTACCAGGAAAATGCTGTTGTATCGGGGGGGCTCACAGCAGCAGTTCCCACAGCCATGAACTGGACTTCAGTGGAGCTCTGCATGCATTTAAGGAAAGAAAAACACTTTTGCCAAGTTTATTGCTTCCAGATACTATGAATTTTACCAAAAGAAAATATTGGGGAGAGAAAATTGATATGAAAAGAAAAAAGAATACTCTTTTTTGTCTCTTTTTTTAGAAAACTTTCCTTAAGGAAGTTACTGTTAACAAAACAAACCTGAAGCTTAAAGTCATAAAGTGTGATTGTCACACCTCTTCTTCAGCATGTGACTTGCTTATTTTTTTATTCAGAGGTCACTGCTTACTTTAAATGTGACTTCACCTTTTGAGCAGGGGTGGCCCTTGGGGGACCAGGTACTCAGCTGAACCACAGACAGACGCACATGGAAGTGGATATTTATAAARCAGCTAAAATGTCTGAAAACATTTGCGGGTAGAGTTTGGTTGCCTGCTGACATTTGCCCTGCACGTACTTCCTATGCAATCATTTGTTTTAAAATGGTGTCCTTCATTAGTTTAGTTACTCACTTAAGCCATGGAATTACTGCTTTTCTTAATGCTTATTATACCTGCAAATGAGAAAAGAGCCCTCAAAACCTTAGTTCTTTCCTTTTCAGGATGAGCTCCTTCACAAATTCTTTTGATTGCAAAAGATTTTTGATTTGTCTCCTTTTTACTAGACTTACATCCATGACTTCCCCTTTAAGAAAAGTTTAAAAGAGATGAAGAGATTATGTCTTTGCACTTCCCACTCCAAGACAATTATTCCCAACATCTACCAGGCAGGCCTGAAATAGAAAAAAAAACCCAAGCTTTTTCCCCCTGTGCAGAAGATAACTCAGGAGCGAGAGCTAATCTAAGGAATCCCATCTGTGTTCCCTGCCTCAGTGTGAGCTCAGTGCTGTGACATTCCTCCCAAGATCGTCGCTCACAGCATCCTCCCGATCCCCACCATGAGCAGAGCTGCCGCTGGACAGGGAAAGGCTCAGAGATGTGGTGCAGCAGCGCAGCATGGCCCTCTGTGATCCCACCCCAGTGTCCTCCAGCTTTGCTCTGGGGTGACACTCACCCCTGTGGGGCCCACACGAGGCTCACCRTGCTGTTCAACCCCACAGTGATGGCAGGAGGGAGGGAATACCGAGGCTCCTTGGAGAGCCAGCAGCGCGGCCGAGCCCCTGACCCTCCTGCCCCGTGATGCTGCAGCCCTCGGCGGCTGCTCTGGCTCCAATTAAATCAGCGTGGAGGGGGATCTGAGGGGAGGTTAGGGGAGGGTCTGCTGGGCCCACACTCCTGTGGCTATGCTGGAAATTAATTCCCACATGTGTGCTGCAGATGGGCCACGGCCCCTTTTCCAGGCTGCAGCCTGCAAATAAACTTTGTGGCAGCTGGGGAGGGGAACCAACAGAGCCTCATGTGCTTTAATGGGTTCTGTGTTTCTGCAGATGGGAGTATTCCCTCTCTAACCCGTACAAATCCTTCTGTAAAGTCCCATAAACAAAGCTGTGGATATAATTTTGAATGAGAAACTTGCCGCCAGGGAAAATGGTGGTCAGGAAAACACAACATACCTCTTTCTCCACGAGGGTGTTTTGGTGTGTGTTTTCATAGATTAAAACCAGATTTGGCTGGTTTGAGCAAGCAGGCAAACTTCTGACCTTTTTTCACATAATAAACCACCCCCTTGGCCCAGCCCCGGTACCTAACCTGTCCTAAAATAGCTGAGGGGACCCTGGAGACTGTGAGGGAAGCTGGCCTCGATGGCAGCTGTGGATGTGTGTCAGCACAGCGAGCCAGATCCTTCTCAGAGCCCTTGTGCCCTGCTCTCCATCCAATAAAGCAGCCAGATGTGTGATCARCTTTGTGTTTTCAGGAGCTGGCCCTCAATGAGACCTGAAATCAAACATTTACAGGAATGTTTATCTGTATCAGCTCCAGAGTGTTCAGTACTTGTTGGTTTGAGAGGCCAATGTGCACCAGAAAAAGGTTGGGGCTGAGGGACCCGGGAACTTTGAAAGCAAAGCATGATTTTTACAGCTCCACACGGAGTGCAAAGGTAGGGAAATCTGCATGATTCCTTTAAGCTTAGCYAAGCAAAATCAAGTTGAAGAAAACTTCCTATTTCCAAACCTGCATCCAAATGCAATCTGGGTGCCTTTTTCTTTTTTCATTAGCTAAATAAATGCAATGAGATAAACATGATGACTTCTTTTCAGAGGCTTTTGTGCTCAGTAACCTTTGAACATGGAGTTAAACAGATAAGGAAAAAAAGAGGTACCTGAATGATTTGAAAAGTAATTTTTAGACAAACTGKCTGTCCTTTATCAGGGGCTCTAACACAACGTGTGAGCAGCAGGGTGTGTGCAGGCACAGATCTGCAGATATGGGCAGGTGGGGAGGGAAGACAGAGGTCTGAGATGTTTGCACTCCCAGCCCTTCTGTAAGAGACCACTTTTTTCTCCTGAACGCATTCAATTCTTGGCAGCAAAGAGCACACAGGTAGATTTTAGGCAGTGTGTACATGGTTGACGAGCAGACCACACTTCAGTTTCTTATTCAAGAGAATAGAAAATCCACAAGCATCTTTCTAGTGTTCTAGATTAATGTAACAAGCTTAACTTCAACTTCTTTCTTCTTTTTCCAAAGTGTAAATGTAGCAAAGAGGTTATTGATAGAAATGTTGGGAGAGTAGTAAAGAGAGAACCCATTTGTTGTCTTGATTTTCTCAGAAAATAATGAATYACTGTAAATTTGAGCTATTTAATCAAGCATCAGTAATAGTCTCCCTGCTGGAAAAMTCACATCATTATCCACATTAATTCTGGGTATTTTCACTTTTAGCATTAAATTAAGAAGCCAAAAAAAATTAATTTTACAGCTTCACTCAGTGGTCTATAAAACAAGAGTAGAACAAAATTGATTATCCGACTTTTTGTTTGGTACTTCAGAAAAGTTGAAACAAAAGAATGGGAAACAAAAAACAACCTCCCTTCCCAAACCAAACAGAGAGAAAAACAATGAGAAAAACAAAACACGCTAAGGTAGTACAGAATCTAGGGCCAGGAAGTCATCTCTGACCCACAGAATTTCTCAGCTTCTTAATTTTCAAACCCATTTGGGGTTAGCCATGTACATGGGCCAGTGTCTGTTAGGATGCCAGTGTGATATGAAAAGGACTGAGGAAGAGCTCTTTTGACGCCACAACCACTCATCTCTTTTCTCTTTGCTTTGGCTGTTGGAGATGTGGTAGGTGTTTCTCATTTCTASTCTTCACAACTTTATTATATTTGGATTACGTGCCAGAAATATTTCAGATGAGGTGGATGGAAACTTCCTCTTGGCCCAAGGAGGAGGTTCCAGTGTCCTATGGATTTCCCCTGTGCTGATCAGGAGACTTCACCTACCATGACAAGGGCTTACCGTCATGATGCTGGTGTTGGTATTTCCACTGGCTGCTGTAGCCTGGAGCAGGTACCTGGGAGTCTAAGTCTTGAGAGCCTTCAAAATTTTTTAAAAAACAGAAGGAAAAGTATAAGTCTCTCAGATTTGATGGAGATAAAACCAGATGTTTGTATTTCAACCCATAAAAACTCAGTTTCTCCTGGCCACTGCCCCTTGGAAGTCAAAGGCAACTAATGCTCAGCAAAACCTGTCCAGGATTTGTCCCTCCCTTTGGCTGCAGGTGTGACCCTCATTGTTCTGTGATGGATTCTGCTCTGCCTATACAAAAAAAATCTGTCACTGGTGGCTCCACTCCTGGGCAGGAGTCTCATTGCAGCACAGTTCAGCACAAAATTTGCTCACCAGCTCAYGCTCACTGAAGAGCTTATAATCCACATTTCTAAATACTACTCATTAAAACTTGCTACAGAAAACACTTTGATGCAGTGACCACACCAAGTGCTAGGCTTCTGACATGAAAATATGAGCTTTAAAATGGAGGGAAAAGAGTCCCTCTTATGGTGGCTTCCCACATCTGATAGCTTGCTGTCTGGTTCACTTTGACACACCTTGTCACTACAGAGGTGGGTCTCCCCAGCAAAGCCAGAATATCAAATGTTAGGATTGTTTGCAACCTTCTGCAGCCCTACAGAACAGCCTAACAACCCCAGCTGGCCATTTGTTCTGTAAAATACACCACAAGAAGGGTAAACATGCACCTGCTGGAAGCAGGGATTGGAATTCTGAACCATTTAGGGATGTCAGTGCCCACACTGAGCCTGCCACGCTTGGTGGGGATCTCCTCGGTAGGGGCTGCTGCTAATATCTGCATTGCATTTTCAAACACATATTACATGTTTTAAACATTTTTTATGGTCCTCATTAATGCTCCTTCTTGGCTAAAAAAATCTTGAAGATTGTTTTAAAGATGAGAGGAAAAAAGGCATTGCCACTCTATATCTCCATACAACTCTCTTCTTTCCTTCCCACATTTTCCTGTTTCCTGTCTAGTTCTCCTTCCATCTCCTGTTTTTATTTGGTTTTATATTCTTTTATTTTTTCTTTCATTCGTGCCCATGATTATTTTTCTATATCTCTTTCTCTTTGTTACTACCTCTCATAATCTCTTTATTGCTACTTTATTCTACTTTCCCATCACCTCTTTCACCAAGCTTTCTCCTTTAATTTTCTCTATTATTCCTGRTTTTTTTCCTCTCTGACTTTTTAAATGGCCTGATCTATTTCCCACTTTTCTGTCTTCCATTTCTGTTTTCAGTAGTTTATTTTAGAAAAATAATAGTTCATTCAACTTCTTCCTTTTCTCTCTGTAGCAAACTGGGTTGAATTCCTGCTTTTTTCCTGGAGATAAAAAACCAAGCAAACAGTGAAAACTTAGTGGAAAGATGAAGAGATGATATGCCAACGAAAAATACTAGGTTAGCTCACTACTCATGCAGGTATTGTCTTACACAGGTTTT